ACAATTCTTTGTATTCCTGTGGTGTTGGTTGTCACTTCTCTTTCATTTCTGATTTTATGTGGGAACTCTTTCTTGATGAGCATGGCTAAAGGTTTATTAATTTTGTTTACCTTTTTTCATAGAACCAGCTCTTGGTTTCATTGATCTTTTCTATTGCATTTTTTGGACTCTATTTTATTTATTTCCACTCTGATCTTTATTATTTCCTTCTTTCTACTCACTTTGGGTTTTGTTATGCTTTTTCTAGTTCCTTTAGGTATAAGGTTAAATTGTTTGAGATTTTTCTTGGCTCTTGAGGTAGGCCTGTATTGCTATAAATTTCTCTTAGAACTGTTTTGGCTGTGTACCATAGATTTGGGGACATTGTGTCTTCATTTGTCTCAACATATCTTTTGATTTCCTCCTTGATCTCATTATTGACCCATTCATTATTTAGTAGCACGTTATTTAGCCTCCAAGTGTTTGTGTGCTTTTCAGTTTTCTTCGTGTAATTGATTTCTAGTTTTATACCATTTTGATCGAAAAAGATAATCGATATGATTTCAATCTTCTTAAATTTACTAAGACTTGTTTTGTGGCCAAACATGTGGTCTATCGTGGAAAATGTTGATTGATCCACTGCTTTTACTAAGTGTTTGACTTTGTCAGTGAGAATTTTTTTATTTCCAATATTTTCTTACTCCCATTCAAAATCTTTTTAAAGAAATCCCCACCATTTCTTATAATCCTGGTTTGGTGGTGATGAACTCCTTTAGCTTTTTCTTGTCTGGGAAGCCCTTTATCTGTCATTTGATTCTAAGTAATAGCTTTCCTGGGTAGAGTAACCTTGGTTATAGGTCCTTGCTTTTCATAACTTGGAATAGTTTGTGCCATTTCCTTCTGGCCTGCAAAGTTTCTGTTGATAAATCAGTTGACAGTCTTATGGGGGCTCCCTTGTAGGTAGCTAACTGCATTTCTCTTGTTGCTTTTAAGATTCTCTCTTTGTCTTTAACTTCTGGCATTTTAATTATGATGTGTCTTAGTGTGGGCCTTTTTGGGTTTATCTCTTTTGGGACTCTCTGTGGTTCCTGGGCTTGTATGTTTATTTCCTTTGCCAGGTTAGGGAAGTTTTGGGTCATTATTTCTTCAAACAGCTTTTCAATCCCTTTCTCTCTTTCTTCTCCTTCTGGTATCCCTATGAATGTTGATACACTTGATGTTGTCCCAGAGGTCCCTTAAATTCCTCATTTATTTTGATTTTTTTCTCTTTGTTGTTTGATTGGGTGGTTTCTAGTACCTTGTCTTCCAGATTGCTGATTCAATCCTCTGCTTCATAACTACTAATGTAGTCTTCACTTCAGTCACTACAATCTTCATTTCTGAGTTGTTCTTTTTTTTTCTATCTTCATTTTTGTTTCCTATCTCTTTAAGTCCTTAGTGAGTTCATCTATTCTTCCCCTAAGTTCAGTGAGCATCCTTATAACCAATGCTTTGAACTCTGCATCTAGTATACTGCTTATCTCCATTTCGTTTAGTTTGGGACATGTTTCTTTGTCTCTCATCATTTTGGCTGATTCCATATATCTGTGTCTATGTATTAGGTAGATCTGCTAGTCTCCTGGTCTTGGCAGAGTGGCCTTATACAATAGGTGTCCTATATAGCACAGTCTTCATGGTCACCTGAGCTGGGTGCTCCAGGGAAGTCACTTGTGTGGTTTGTGTGTGCTCACCTGATGCAGTTGAGCCTTGATTGCTGTTGGCACATCAATGGGTGAGACTGACCCTTAGGCTAACTTGCGGTGAGTGTTGCCTGTGACTACAATAGATGAGTTGTTGTGCAGGGGATGACCCCAAGGAGCAGAAGTCTCTTTAGCAGGGCTCTACTGCTGGCCAAGTTTGCCTTGTCACTTGTAGAGCTGGTTGGACGGTGCTCTGGTGTCCTCTAAAGCTGGCTTCCAAGTATGTTGGTTCTGGAGCCTCTTGGGAGGGGCTCTGGTGCAGGTCAAGGTCAGCCACTGCCTGTATGGCTTGGGGCTGTTCAGTAGGAGCCACAAAGTGATCTGAAGATTGTTGTTGCTTATGCTGGGCTTGGAGGTGCTTAGGAGAGGCTATTCTGCAAACTGAGGCTGGCTGCCACTACTGTTGGGCTTGGGACCCTTTGGTGGGCATCACGATGTGAGCTGAGGTCAGCTGTCACTTGTGCCTGGTTTGTGGCCATTTAGTTAAGGTTATGCTCCAAGCCAAGACTGGCCACTTCTTAAGCCAGGCTTGGAGCTACCTGATGGAAGTTATAGTGTCAGTTCAGACCAGTCATGCTTGTGCTTGGTAGTTCAGCAAGAGGTACAGGGCACACTGAGGCCAGGCGCTGCTTGTTTGAAGTTTGTAGACCTTTGAGAGATTTTAGGAAAGTCTGTAGCATGAGCCAAGGCAGGCTGTTTGTGTGGAAGAGCTGCTGGAAGAGGGTCATCCAGGTGCATGAATTGGGTGGGTCTCAGGGCATCAGCAGGACAGGGTAAACAGTGTTGACCAGATTAATAGAGAGCTCAGATTTGGTCCCCACCTGCACCTGTAGGCTGGGTGAGGGGAGGGCTCAACAAAGGAACAACAGTGCCTGCCAAGTCCTTCCATCCCCTGAGAAAGCTGTCTTGACTCTCCAGCCTTAAAGCTAATCAATTTAGTTCCTCCCCTTATGTCCCTGGTGCTTTCTAGGCTGCTACATCTACACTGGAGACCAGAGTGAGCAAGTTTATAAGTGAGTGAGTCTGTGTGTGGGCCCTTTAAAACTTGCAGCCTCTAAGTCTCCAGCAGCCCTCCTGGATGCAATCCCCACTGGTTTTCACTGCCAGATGTTATAGGGACTCCTCTTCCTGGCCCTGTGACCCCTCACTCTTCAGGGGGATCTCTGCAGACAAGATATCCCTCCCGATTCTTAATCACCACACCATGGGTGTGAGACCTGCCCATTCCGCATCTCCACCACAGCTACCAGTCTTGATATGGCTTCTTCAGTATGTCCTTAGACTTCAGGTGATTCTCAATGACTTGTTCTATAATTTAGTTGTAATTTTGATGTGGGAGGAGGTGAGCACAGCATTTACCTACTCTGCCATCTTGATTGGAAATCTATTCTCAATTCTTAGTCTTTAAATAAGAATAATATTTTTAACATTTAGGTATAATAGAAAGAGAACTAGACCCACCAGGGCTCTAGTTTCAGATCTCCTATTAACCAATTGTGGTGGTACCTTGGGCAAGTCACATAGAATTGCTAGGCCTCAGTTTTTTGTGTTTTGTTTTGTTTTTTTAATGTAAACTTGAAGGATGGATCATGAAGGATAGATCATAAATCTAGAAAGGAAAATGATAATGATCTCAACAGTAGTTAGTACAACTCCAGTACCAGATATTGTAGAACAGCACCATCCTGGTTAGGCTCATAAGCTTTAGATGAGTTACTCAACAGCCTAGTTTAAATATAAGTTCTACACCTCATAAGCAGTATCACTGTACACAGGTTGCTCAGCTTCTCTAGGCTTTATTCATAAATGAGGATAAAAATAGTACCTCGCTGTAGTACTGTCGTGTGGATCAAAAGAGCTAATGCATCCAAAGTACTCTGTACTGTGCCTGGCATGCATTAAGGGTTCTATAGATGTTGGTGATATCATTATTATTTTCATCATCATTGGCCATATTATAGGATGTATTTTTCCTATGAAATACTTTATCAAGAAATTTGCAATTACATAACCACAAACTATGTATGAAACTTTATTTCATGAAAACTAAAAAATATAAAAGTGATTATAAAATTTAGTATAGCACAGTATAGCTAATGATAAAGTCAATAATTGCAACATCTTTGGGGAGGGCTATTGATCACTTTGAAACCAGGAAACAACAGACTCAAAAGAAAAAAGGAAAAAAAAGCACAAAAGCATGTATGCATTCATAGAAGGAAGGTTTCAAGAGGTCCATCTCCAAGTCCATTCTTGAATGTCTGTCCTGGTTAAGAGGCCATCCATGATCAGGGTCAGGGGTTGCAAACTGGAGGTTGGTGGGCTGAATGTCACCTGCAGATGTGTTGTTAACCTGTGCAGGGTCTTAAAACTTGTCAATGTGAATGCCTTTACCAGGGTATGAGTTTTTCAGTGCACCACAGTTCCTACTTACCATACCCTCTGGGCTAATCTCTGCCAGATTCATTTTGGGGGGGTTATCTGCCTGACCTCTGTAGGCCTTTGAGTTGTTGACCCTTGTTTTACACCTTTCAGAATCTATGATAGCAGGCCTTTTTGCACTGAAGAGGCTGGCAAGATAAAAACCAAACACGTTTACCTGACTCCCTTGCAGTTAAGGGTCCACCATGTAACCTAGGTTCTGCCATGCAGATAAATACAAGACTTGGGCAGTAAATTAGAGTAACATGAGGTGTTACTCATGTTAAAAGGATCAGATTTTCTGCAAGGAAGATGGCAAAAGCCTTAGGTTCTTCTGGGCAGCTGTGGCAAAAGTTCTAGATCTACTCCAGAGGTTGGCTGCCTAGGGCCTATGTGTCAAATCCAGCCCACTATCTGTTTTTGTAAATAAAGTTGTACTGCAACACAGCCCTGCCTGCTCACTTACATACTATATGGCTGCTTTTGTACTACTACAGCAGAGCTGAGCTGTGTGACAGAGACCATATGGGCTGTAAGCCTAAAATTTTTACAATCTGGCACTTCACAGAAAAAGTTTACTGATCTTTGTTCTCATCCCTAGATGTGGAGTGGTAGGTGGCAGCTGCAGTAAGGTTTTCTCATGATGTAGCTTCTCCTAGTAACAATATTCCTGGTCCTGGAACATGGAAGCTTCATTCTCTGGCCCTTCTATAAATTTTATAAGCTACCTAGTACTGTGCAGTAAATCCCTTTCTGCTGAAAATAGCTGGAGTGGTTTCTATGGCTGCAACTAAAAACCCTGAATGAAACAGAGCAACAAAAGACAAAGAATTAGGTTATAAAGTTTAAAAATTTACTTACATTATGCGTCATCTCAAAGTATTTTTGACAGGCTACCTGGTAATGTGTCCCTTTTACTAAATCCAACATCTAAAATGAATGAAAAAAAGAGAAAGAAGAATTACAAATTAAGTTTCTTCTAAACCACTGTAGCTCATGGTTGTTAGTCATCTTCATTCCAGACAGGAACTGCATTAAATCATGTAGCATGTTGTACTTTTGCAGCCCGGACAGTGTGATAATTTTGACATTATACAGTAGCCATTTAGGTCAGCATTAAACCACAGATGACAAGCGATAGTAAGTGATCTTTCTGACCTACCAACTGTGAATTTCAATAACTTTACCTTGACAACAAGATGAAAATAGATCTGAGTATTATGACTTTGACAGTTATTGTCAGAACATCATATTGCAACCTCTCTTCTAAAATTGTAGATATAAATCTGGTAATCTAAATGGTTGGTGCACGAAGCAATCAAATATACTATTTAGATTTTTATTTTCCACATTACCAGTTTATACAGATGCAGCATAAAATACAGCTGCGTGCCCATCAGGAAAATTCAATGTAAACCCTTTGGACGAGTATTTGTGGAGAGGGAATGCTTTTACCTTCAATCAGATTTGTCCTTTTTTGAAATGAAGTTATTTCTAGTAAAGCTCAGCAGAATATGAGAGTGAATAGTCAATTCTGAATACCTATTAGGAACATCATCCTATCTTTTGTAAATACAATTTGCTTTCCAATTCTACTTCATGTAATCTCTTCAGAGAGGTGAAAACTCCCATTCTTATCAGCAGAGTGCAATACCAGTTGAAATTTGGAAAGTTTCATCACCTCCCCCGTCAAATAAATAAAGTGTATATTTAGCCTGGAATTAAGAGATAGCCTCAAATGTGGGAAATATAATTTTGGAGAAATGTTAATTTCTATCGCTTTTCAAAAGGCTGACCTTCCTATGACAAAAAGAAATGTACATGAAGTCTCAATTCTTGCTCTCTTCATTACTGAATATAGCTTACATCTTTTAACAGATACACAAACAAATTACAGTTGCAGAATAGGCATCATACAATACTGACAAGAGTGTGCTTAAAAGAATTGTTTTCCTGATTGTTGTATAGATTACATTTCTGAATTTCAGGTCACCTTGTAATTAAATCCTGTATAAAAGGCCTGTGTAAATGTCAACCAATCAGAGCCCCCAGGATTCTGCCTATCTGTCTATTTGACCTGTCCACTTTTCTTGAGTTATTAGAGCAAAACTGAAAAATAAATCAATTTAAAATAACTATAAATAAATCAATTTAAAATGACTATACATTTTTTAAAGTGAAAAAAGTCACAAAGTTTTCCAAGTAATTCTAACATTCTCAGCTCATATTTACTAATGTTTTTACCCATAGGTAATTCAAATTATGTTGAGATGAACTTGAATTGATTGTTGGCAAACACCAATGATACCAATACCTGAATATTTGTGAATTACAATTTTGGAGAAGCAAAGACATAAAGTTTAAATAATCATAAATTACCTGAAGAGAAAATGAATTCACAGAAATAAGCAAAAAGCTCAACTGTGTGGTATATAACAAATTCTTTTATGTAAAAACAAAACAATGAATCCAATATCTTATTCTGTGTACGTATTTCTTGTTTTTATATATATATATAAAAATAGAAGTAATATATTTAAATATCTTCCTTGCAAAGTAAATATGTAACATTATATACATACAATCGGAATATATATGCTTGGGAAACATGCTATAAAGAAACACAAGAAATATTAATATCTAGTTGGGTGATATACGTATATGTTAAAAAAAAAACCTGTTATGGGGCCAGCAGAGTGGCGTGTTGGTTAAGAGTTGGCTTGGGATACCCGAGGGCCCCGGTTCAGATCCCACATATGAGGGCCAGTGACACTGCCTTCTACAACTAAGATGCTGAACAACAGCTCAACCTGGAGCTGGGCTGCTGTCTGTCACCTGCGACAGTGTAGGCTGCAGCCCCTGCGGCAGAGGGTTGCCATGGGCTACCGTATGTAGCCAGCAGCCAGCATGAGCGGCCAGCAGCCGCCGTGAGCGGCCGTCCAGAAGCCGGCGATTGATCTGCCTCGTCCAGGAAGAGCGCAATGATGGTGCCAACTTGGGCCAGTGAAGCAACGTCCTCCACAACTAGACTGAAGAACAAAAGGATAGCAAGTTGTCTGTTCCCCTCCCCCCAATTCCCCAGCGCTGTTCCCATCCCCCAATTCCCCAATAAAAAAATCTTTTAAAAAAAACTGTTAAGGAAAACTAACATATAAGCCACAGAATGTGAGAAATAGGTTTATGTATTTTGAAATTTTAGGTTCAGTCAAAAACGTTAAATTTAGATTAATCACAAAACAATGCCTCCAACCCCCACAGTCCCATTCCACCCCCAGAAGAGGCTCTTCCTTAACAAAAATTATTTACTTTTCCTCTTACTTTTTTTGCTTTATCTTCCTAAAAAGAGTTTCTATTTAAAATTTTCCTGAAGATCCATAAATAAATCATTTAGCCATCTATCTGTAAAAAATTTTACCGATCGTGTCACAGCATATTTCAGTGGATAAAAGTTTCTGCACATGTACAAAGGTGTAATGGAAAAAAGAAGAAGAGAGTATTTTTTACTGGCTGGAAAAACTATTCAAAGAAAGACATAAATTTAGGCCAAGGAGAAGAGCTAGAGAAGGAGAAAGAATATCAAGTAATGGAGATATGGGGACACAATACAAGAGCCAACAGGAGAAATCCAAGAAAAAAACTGCTTTGAGGTGATTAGGTGTTATTGGTTAAGTATTATCTTCATTTCAGAGATGAAGAAACATATCCTTTTAAAAATAGAGTGGTATCTGTCTATGAGGGCCATTTACTGCAGAAAGAATTAAAAATTAAAAAATCATTTGCAACTTAATGATCCTGTTTTCCTTAAGAGGAATATAAAATACTTAAGTGTTTTAAAATTAAGATAGAAAATGTGCAACATTACTCAAAAACATCCAACAGTAAAAATATATACTTTTAATTTCATGTGATGATCTACATTACAGAGATATAGTGGACCAGTGAATGAAGTTTGGCTTTTTCTCTGAGTAAAATGGGAAGCTATTGCCATGTTCTAAGCACAAGGGTGATGTGAACTGATAACACGATTATTCTGTCTTTGGTGTTGGGAACAGGCTGGGGTGGGGGACCAAGAGCTCATTACAAGAATCCAGGGAATCAATGATGTAGGCTTGGATGGGGTGGTAACAGTCGTGGTGGTAAGAAGTGGTCAGATTTGGATACAGAAACATTTTCCACCTAATGATCATAAACTGTTTTTGAAAAACAGCTGTTCTACATGCTCAAACAGGAGCCTGTTCCTCACTGTTTGGGAAAAAGGCATTACCTATCATTCAACATCCCCATCCCAACTGATGTCCTAAATAAAGCTAACTAGTTTGAAAACTCAGTAAAATACAAGTATTAAGTAACAAACTATCGTGTAAAATAAATGTAAAATGCCACTTATTTATTAGTCACTAAGCAATATGATTAACAAAGATGCTTTTTTATGCAGTAATATATGTGTCAGTGTCACCAACACTCCCCTCCTCCTCACTTCATAATTTTCACAAGTGATTCTGATATTCTACCATTTGTATATGGAGTGCGACTTGGCAGTTTTTCTGCACCTATTTTCTTAGATTTTTCTGAGATTAACATCACTGGCAAACACTATACAGAGGTATTGTGCAGATATGTCTACTTTGAGGATGGTCCTGGTGCAACTTGCTGATGGGTTGCATGACTCCAAGGCAGGGCATGCAAACCTAAAAATCAAAGGAAGGAAGGGAGAATTGAGGTCTGAGCAAGATACTAAAATTCAGTTAGTGAAACAGGAGCAAAAATAGAAACATAGCAAAGAAACACCAAAATCCAAGGACAGATGCCTGAGGGAGAATCTGTGAAAGAGAATTTGGGGAAAAAAGCTAAACTCCCTACAATATGTTTTACGTACCCTAGAAAGACTGCTTTTCCCAAAGTGAATGAACCGCTTGTGTTAATGTAACACTGAGATGCTGAGAATGCTCACCACTAACTCAGTAAGGCTGAAGAGGGATGGTTCTGCAATGATGGTTGAAATGCATGACTCTGATTACTGAGCCATCCTCATTTCCTGCAATGCAGGGTTTTGGAATAATTGGTCTCATTTAGGATTTAAATTTTTTGCTTAGTCATAATTCAAGTGACCTTTCTTTTAAAGTGCTAAGTTTTAACAGAACAGTCCATGTCCTAGGGCTGTGGACAGATAGGCTTGAGATATATACATACATATACATATATATATAGGTAGATAGATAGATAGATATAGATACTGTGAACCTCTGAAAGATTAGCATTTAACCAAAAGTGGTATGTTTTTCTTTGAAACTAAAATTTTCCTTTGAAGTTTTCTCAAGAATGAAGAAAAAAATGTGTTAATTTTTTTTTAATTTTTTTATTGTTAGTTTCAGGTGTATAGAACAATGCAATAGTTATCCTTTTCACCCTCGCAAAGTAAAATGTGTTAATTTTGAACTTAGGTACCTAATCTTTTTTAAAAAATGCTGGGGGGTGTGCAGCTTGCAGGGCTATCGTTATTCATTATGTGCTTGCTTATATATACTAGGGGTGCCACAAAAAATATATACTAGGGTTGACACTTTGGTCAACATTGCTCAAGCAGTAGTTTGCTGTAATCAGGAGTGTCTGGACGCTAATGGTAACCACTTTGTGTATCTCCTGTAATTGCAGAAGTCAAACGTGACTTGTATTCATCTTTTGTTATTAGCATATATTGAGTATTACAATTTTAATAGTTTTTTCCTTTCTTAAAATGTGTATACAGTTTTTTGACACTCTCTGTATTTAGTGTTAGAATCATATGTTGAATATGACATTAAAATTTTTTAAAGAAAAAAAAAATTTTGTTGAGAAACCAGAATGAAGATGTCAGGCAACAGTGCTTTTTGACAGTGTTTGTTCTGCCCACACAGCTTGTGAAGGCTAGACCTCCAATCTCACAAACTGTG